GCGGGGAGTCTGCTTCTCCCTCTGACCCTCCTCCCTCTCATGCTCTCTGTCTCTCATTCTCTCTCTCGCAAATAAATAAAGTCTTTAAAAATAAAATAAAATAAAATGAATCAAAACCTAGAACCTGAAAGTGTAATAGAATGTGGCTAGGATTTCTGACCCTGGACTTGTAATTCTAGGAAACCACTGTAAGGAAATACTTAGAGATACAAAAATCACTTACAAGGATATTCTCTACAGCATTATATATAATATCCAAAAAAGGAGAAATGACACAACTGTTCAATGAAAGGAATAGGTTGCATGTATCATGGTAAATCCATAAAACAAAATGGAATATGATATTATTATTGAAACATCTCAATGAAATTTTGCTGACATGAAAAAATGTTTAATATCTAATTTTAAGTGAAAAAACCAGGACAAAAGACTGTATATAAGGTAATAACTACTCTTAAAAAAATTATATATGTATCGGCAGGAGAATAAAGAGAAACAGCAAAATGTTAACAATGGCTAACTCTGGGTGATCGCATAGGATTTTTTTAAAATAGTTTTGTTTTCTAAATATAAGGCATCCCATGGAATAGTGGGGAAAAAATGCTGGGGGGTGTGGGTGGCAGCGAGGGCCTTGGCGGATCCATGGGGTGCTCACAGGATGCTAGGGAATTGCTGAGCTGTACCACGGGAATAGGTCTCAGCTCACTGGGAACAAATTCCCCAACTCAGGAAATGATCTTTCCTCTAATCTAATTTATGCAAATTTGCTTTAAAGAACATGAAGCGCTCTGTTATCTTTACTGATCAGAGGACTCTGTCAAACCAGCTATTTCTAGGGTCCCACTTCTCAGCATATTCTCTCCCCTACCCTCATCCCTCTGGGGCTCGGAGGGGTGACGCTCAGGTGTTGGGGTGTGGAGCTAGATGATCGGGAAGTTGTCACAGTAAGGTGCTAGATGATGACTGTTGCCATCGTAATAATCAGTTAACACTGAGTTTTTACTCCGTGCTAGACCCTATTCTAAGCCCTTTGCATTTATTATGATTACAGGGGAGGTGTAAGAAACATGCCTTCTTATTTTGACGATTTCACATCTGAAGGCCTCCCTGACCTTGGAGGGGCTGCCCTTCTCCCCAGGGCCAGCTTATTCCTAGAGATAGTAAATGACTCTCTTGCCAGTGTGCCTTTCATAGGCAGACTAACCAATCCAAAGCCCCACCCCCACCTCCATTAGGCTTCCACTGGGACCAATATTCCCCACCCTACTCAGGATACCCCCACACCCCAGAGCCCACTAAATTAGTCAAACTAGGCAACCTTAGCCTTTTTACCCTGCTTCACCGGTTCCTCCCCCAGTAAACCACATTAAAGCCTCTTGCCCGCATTTTCCTCCTGCCCCCTCTGCCTCCTGACCCTGGTGCTTTCCCCGTGTGGCCTGATGTGCCCCCTCCTTTTGAAAACCATGAACAACAAACCATCTTTCCAATGACAGTTGCTTCCTGCATTATTGCCATCATCAGACCCGAATAAAAATAAGACCTACATTTTCAAACAGGAGGCATGATCGTCATCCCCATTTTTCAGAAGAGGAATCTGAGGCTCAGGAAGCTTATGTATCTTACCCAGGGTCACACAGCAGATAAGAGGTGCAGGTGGAAGCTGAATCCGGTTGATCTGACTACAGAATCGCACCACTGGCCATTATACTACAAGAAACCTACACTCGATCCTATTCCAGAGTCCTTTGTAATTGTAAGTGAAGGATTTGGGGGGGGGGGCGGGGGGCAACCCGGCAGCTGATGGTTGGGGCCTGGGTTAGGAGGCACAGACAGACTGCAGGCAAGGGCTCATGGGAGAGGGGCAAGGGAGCCTAGCAGGAGCTTGGGCGCAGGTGTCTTACAGGTGTTTTCTCGCTCGATCCTCAGAGCGCCTCGCTGGGTTTATTACCTTTTATTTACGGTTGAGGGAAATAGGGCTTTTCGTGGTGAAATGACTCTGAGGTCCCTGTGGCTAAACCCTCCAACTCTGGAGTTGGGATGTCCCAAGTGTGACTCCCAGATCCACCCCTGATTACCATAAGGCAAGTCGCTGAGCTGCCCAAGCCTATTCCCTCCCGTCATTTGGGTGCCTGTGAAAATTCCAGGAGACGGCACCCACAAAAACCTTAACACGGTGCTCAATATGCTTTTAAAAGTCCAGTTTTGTTCTAAATCATGCCTGAGCATGATGTCCCCAAGCAACAAGATGCACCTAATTGGCAGGAAACCAAGAGCGCCAGGTCCCTTGGAATTCAGCAGTGTCAGGAATAAAAGCCTCGTTAAAACTTCCTTTCAAACCCAACTTCCAAGAGAAACACACGAAGAAAAAAATAAATTGCTAAAGATTAAAACTCCAGTGGAAAACCAATTACTTACTTTGGTACATTTGTTAATTATTCTTTTTTCTTTTGCTAAATTTATACTAAAATATACCAACTTAATTATTGCAGTTTGGTTTCAGGTAACAGTAACTAGATAAAGTTTTGGGCATACACTAATCAGGGCAAATGACAACGTCTAAAAGGGTCCAAGTGATAGACGTCGAGAATCCTGATGGGCCAGCAAATGTCCCCCCATCCCCCCCTTCTTGAGATTTACAGAGAAGACATAGTAGGGGTACTTTTCCATGGAAGACACTCTCTCTAACATCTCTTGGTGGTGCTAAGTCGAATTGCACACATCTGCAGGGTTGCAACTTTCCCAAACAGCTTCCCCAGTGTTGTCTCTGTTTGTAACCACCAATCTTTGCAACAGCTCCAGTGGACATGGTAAGGTGAGGATTAGCATGGCTATTTGAGGAATGGGAACTTAGAAGCCTTCCCAGATGCACCCTCTTGGAGCCCTCATCCTGCACCTTGGGGCTGCATCCTGCACCTTCTATCCTTCTCTATACTTGCAAAGACATCCCGTTCTGTCTCATGATGCACTTTCTCTCTCTTTGCTGAGAAGCCCTAAACTCTTCTTTCCCAAACTCTAGCTGTGTAGATACAGTTGCTTTCTGGTTGGTTCCATTGGCCATCTCCAAGGTAGCCCAGACTCACTGTGTCCAAATGCGCTCTCTTTGCCTTCTCAGCATAGCCCAGGCGGACCCTCTGGTGTCTCTGCCTTGGTGAATGACACTAGTCTCCACCCAGTTGCTTAAGGTAGGTATCTGGGCACCACCCGCACTCAACCCATCATCAAACCCCATCCCATCCACCCTCAAATGCTTATGTCCATTTCTAGGGTCCAAACCCACTAGCACTGATTTGATGGAGAATGCCACCATCTCCCCCTGGATTGGTCACCCAACTTCCCAATCTCATCCTTATCCTTTCCATTCTCTGCACAGCAGAGTGATTGTTCTAAAACTCAAAGTATGATTACATCACTCCCCTGCTTAATAACCATCAATGGCTCCCCAGTGCTGTGAAGATGAAGTAAAAACTCCTTAATTCAGCCTCTTAGTCCCTGTAGGAGTCACTCGGATTCCCTATCTAGTCTCTCCTATCACCACCCCAGCTCATTTTTTCCTGATTCTCCATCTCTCAGCTCCCTCCCCCTCCCACTCCCCACATGTTCCTCCATTGTGGGCAATCTGTTTTCTGTTACCCTAGGCCTCTTCACCCGTTCCTTCTATCTAGACACCTCACCCTACCCTCATCTCGCCCACTTATAGTCAACCTCTAACTTAGGCTCAGGAGTCACCTCCTCTGGGAAGCCCTCTCCGATCTCCCAGGCTAGATTTAGGTTCTCCTTTATTAGCCCAGTCTTATGTTTATCCTCAGCATAGTATTTATCATACTCTGCTAAAATGGACTATTTCCCTGTTGGTCTTCTACTAGAAAAGATAGAGTAGGGGCCTTTGGTGGCTTAAAAATCGGTCTACAAATTTTTTGATATTCCTTCCTGCAAAACGTAGAGCTTCATTCACCTCTCCTTGATTGGGTGACTTGTTTCTAACACACAGAATGTGGCAGAAGTGAGGATACATAATTTCTGAGACCAGCTCATAAAGGCAAGGTGGTTCTAGCCACCGTGTTGTGAGGTCACTCAAGCAGCCTATGGAAATGCCCACATGACAAGGAGCTGAGGTCTCCTGCCAACAGCCATGTGAGGGGGCCCCCCTGGAAGTGGATCCTCAGCCCATCAAGCCTCCAGATGAGACTGCAGCTCCGGCCCACATCTTGACCACAACCTCATGAGAGATCCTGAACCAACTCAGAACCATTCAGCTAAGCCACCCCCACCCAAATTCCTGACTACAGAAACTTGAGATCATAAATGTTGCTTTAAGCCCTCAAGTTTGGATAATCCGTTAACGGTAGGTGTTCCATAGATAGGTATTGCTTCAGCGAATGAATGAATGGGCCAAGTAACTCGCCACAGTCACATAACCAGTTAGAAACCTGGCATGAAGGTTTGCTAGGGTCACTCTTTCTACTACACCCCACTTGGATACCCCCAATCTCACCCAGAAACCTGACCACCTAGGCCCCAGCAGATAGGTGCCCCATCTCTTCCAAAAGGAGAGAAGGAAGGCTTGGGCAATGTCCCCCTGTCTGGGCTGGGGCTCTCCACGGCCAGCGTGGGCCACCTACCCGAGCGCAAAGACGTCCGAGTGCTTGGAGAAGGGGAGTTTGTCCTCTTCTGTGTCGGGAGACAGCTGGCGGATGATCTCTGGTGCCAGGTGGCAGAGCCAGCCATTCTGGATGCGTAGCTTGTCCTCCCGCCTGGAGAAGCAAAACACAGAGGGAGCCCCACCTCACAGCCCAGGGAGGACTAGTCCCCCAGCACTGACCCCAAGTCTCTGGACCACCTCCGCTGGCTTTCTCGCATCTCCCACCCTGGGCATGCCCTGCCCTTGTCCTTGAGGCCGAGCCCCAGTGAAAGGGACAGGGAAGACTGATCTGGGAGGGAGACACTCAACACCCAAACCATCATCAGGTCCCTCTGCCTCTGAGGCACCCCCTCCTGCATATTCATTCAGCCAATACAGCGGAGTCTTGGTATTCATGGCAGTTACGTTGTATAAAGTCTCCGCAAAGAGTGAATTAGCAAATACGGAATCATTGCTCCTAGAGGAAATAGGTATTCACGCACACACCTCACATCGATTATAACCTAAAACCTAAAAACAACTCATCCTAGTACATTCTGTTTTCATTATTTTACGGAAGAGAAAACAAGGCTCAGGAGTGTTGAGTGATGTGTCTGAGGCGGCCCCACAACCACGTGCCAGAGTTGCAAAACTCTGTCCCACTGGCCCCGGGGCCCAGGGCTTCCTGCACCGCATGGCCCCCTCCCATCTCTGTCCCCTGGTCATCTCTGTATGAGAGCTCAAACAAGAACGCAGAGTATCCCCTTATCTGACCTCAGCTGGGAACACATACATCAGGTGATTCAAATTTTCACCACCCTGTGCATGCCCGTGAATGACTGCGAAGGGGCCATATTGATTTGGGGGTGCAAATAGATCTAAGTGAGTAGGCAAATTTGCAAATATGGAATCCATGAATAATGAGGATTCACTGTATTTTTGGAGAACGTGCTATGCCTAAGCTCTCTGTTTTCGGCACCAGGAACAAAGCAGTGAAGGAGACGAGCAAGGTCTCTGCCCTCCTGGAGCCTGTGCTTTGGTAGGGGAAGGTGACGACAAATGAATTAAATAAACAGGAAAAATACAGATGGTGATAAGCATTATACGAAAAAATTTAAACAGGGGAATGTGTCAAAGATAAGAGGGAACTCACTTTAGATAAAATTTTATCTGTATTTATCTTCACATGGTAAGACTTTCATAAGTACAGAGCTTTCCATTTGGGACTGAAATCTGAGCAGACTTCCTCCAAGGTTTCCACTGATTCAAGACTCCCAGGGAAGGGCCAGTTACTACAGAGAGAGGGGGCAGTGATGGGGGATGGGGATGGATATCTCCAACCATCAGGAGTGAGATCGTGATGGCCCAGAGCCTCCAGAATGTGGAGACCAGGGGCTGGCTGGATTCTACAGTTCTCCTAGGGTGGCTTCTGGAGCTATGTCAGGTGTAATGTGCTGCTCCTTGAACTGCACTCATTCATATCCCGTGACAATGATTCTTGCCCTATCTGAACACTTCTAGAGTGGCACTATCCCATAGAACTTTCCATGGTGATGGAAATGTTCTCCGTCTTTGCTATCCAATATGGCAGCCACGAGCCGTCATGGCCATTGGGCACTTGAAATCCAGCTAGTGCAGCTGAAGAATTGAACTTTAAATTTTATTTAATTTTAATCAAAGTTAAAATTACATAGCCTCATGTGGCTGGGGGCCATTGGACAGTGCTGCTCTCGACTATTATTTACCACAAATGAGGTTTTTCATTTACTTCTTACCATGACCATACATGGGAGCTAAGACTTTTTTAGTACACATTAAAATTAAGATGAAAAATGCTTATTCACGTCATCCCTAAAGTTATCTTGTGGACCACACGGCGGGAGTAGGGGAGAACCCTGAAAGGAGAGGTCCCAGGAGTTTTGGGGCTGGATAATTCTTTGTGGTGGGGGCCTGTTCTGTGTAGTGTAGGACATTTAGCAGCATCCCTGGTCTCTCCTCACTGGATACCAGTCTGACCCTCTCCCCTGTTGTGACAACTAAAAAAGTCTCCAGACATCACAAATATCCCTGGGGAGGGGGCGGGAGAGTCCCAGCGGTTCTCCTTTATACAGAAAACAAGGAAATGGTCCAAATTTCAGTCTTTCGGCATCAGCAACACAGGACTTGCTACACAGCAGACCCAAATCCATTGGCAAGCCCTTGAGCTGGCAGGGCCCAGTGAGTTCTTGCTTCCAGAACTGGGGATGCCTGCAGGAACGTAAAGACCTATCTGCTGCTTACTAGCCATGTGACCTTGAGCAGACCTGAGTCTCCACTTGCCCATCTGCACAATGGGCACATTAATCTCACACAACCCTGGTGCAGGGCTGTGTCAGCTGCCAGGGCCATAGGATTATTAGAATTATTACCTATGGATATGTTTACATCTTGAGGACTCAGAGATGGAGTGAGACCACAGCTCAAAGTAAGAACATCACATAAGAAGGAAGGGCCATGGCCTGAGCCAGCCAACACTCTCCGGGCACAACCGGGCCACTGGGGGTGAGGTGAGATGGGGTGCTGCTGCCGAAAGGGAGAGCACCCCAGTTCTGATTGCTTTCTGACCGCCCCTGCTGCCTATTCTGGACTTGCTGGCTGAGTGCAGGTTTGCAACTGCAGGCTGGGCCAGGAGGAGGGGTGCTGGCCACTCCCTAGCCATCAGCCCAGGGTGGGAGGGGGCACACGCCCGGGAGGGGGCTGGATGCCAGGCCTGGCCCAGACACTCCGGGATGTCCCATTCCCATGGCGATGGGCCCACTGGTGACAAACTCAAATCATCTTCATTAAGGTTATTATTATGATTAATACCAGCCTGTGGGTGGCTAGCACTATAGCGCTGGCATGGAAAATGACACCTTTTCTCGAGGATGGCAGAACAGCTGTATGCTGGCAAAGCTGGGGACGGGCTCGGGGAAGCCCCAGGGTCTGTCTGGATGTTCAGGACACGCTCACTTCACTGGGTAACCCCCACCCCTGCCCAGGCCCGGCAGATCTCCCCCTGTTGGGAACCCAGCATTGTGAATGCCCCAGGCTCTAACGGGGGGGCGGGACATCAAGTAGCCCCTACTGAGTGCCTACCGTGCATCAGGTTATCCATCGCACTTCATCCCAACAAACCCACCATAGGATGGGTAAGATCCCTGCTCTGTGGATGAGGACACAGAGCTTCAAAACACTTAAGTGACCTGCCCAAAGCTGCGGATGTAACAAGTGACCCCAGAGACTCCCATCCACAATTTTACAGCAATTCCTGGAGAAATGGCACCCTTAGGGAGCAAACTGAAACCCTACAGGAAAACTAAGTCTGACATACAACTGCAACAGAGAACATTCAACCACCACAGAAGACCCCCGATCGGGACTCGTGGGCAGCCAAGAAATGTGGATTTCTTCTGGGAGAGGTCGCTGAGGGTTCCCTGGCCTTTCCTGACACTGCCCGGGGTTTGTGTTGACGACCAGGCTGGGCAGGGGTGGGGTTGCGGAGGGACGGCTGGACAAAGGCCAGCAGCCACCTTGCCCTTGACTTGAACTTGCTTCTCCGGTTGACACTGGGCCTCTGTGAATGAGGTGAAGGAAAGGATGCTCACGTCATTCCATTTCCTTTCTTCCTCTTTACCCTGGGGCTTTCGAAAACTGAGAACCAAAAGGGAGAAAATCAGAGGTCCTGCCCCCTTTTCCTCCACCTGCAGGACAATCCACTGGCAAGGACATGCCTCTGGGTGGGAGGAATCGGATTTTTTTTTTAAGAGCCTTGAAGCAGGTTCACGGAAAGCATCTGCTGGGCCTTTTTTTGTCTGGAGGCAGATACTTGATTGAGTTCATAGTGATGTTACCCACTGCTTCCTCTGCCCCTTAGCCTGGGGTGATGGATGAATGGATGTGGGGATGTGTGTGCGCATGCAAATCCTCCCAGCAAACCCACTTGTAAGTGCTCCTGGGGAGACAGGGAGGAAGGAACACGGTTCAGCCCTCCTGGCTTGTTGGGTCCGACTCGAGGGACTCTCTCCACCTACCTATCCACTGATCTCCTTGTTCATTTACCTACTTCTTCTCTCATCTTAGGTGCTATAGTTTTGGAGACCGCACTGAATCTTTTTGGGCGGAGTAAAACCTGAAGAGACACTTCCGCTTCTGTTACGCTTTCTGTTTCTAGATCACACAGAAAGCGGCTAGATCAAGTGTTGCTGATTTTTGGATGCTCTTCAAGGCATTATATAGCATGAACAAAATTCACCTGTGGGGGGGGCCCTGGGGTGGACCTCAAAGAGATCAGTACCTCAAAGCAGCTGAAACAAGTAAAAGGAGAGTGTGGGGCTGCCATCCGGAGGAGGCACGCACAGGTTATAAAAGGCGCGAGTAGAGAAAACCACGGGGTTTTTAAGTGTGTGTGCGTGCGTGTGTGTGTTCACGCACGCGTGGGCCTGTGTGTGCTCGCGCGCCCACACTCCAAATTAAAAGTCACAGAGGGCAGACCTCCTGAATCATGGGCTGTTTATTTGGAATCAAGTTGTTTCTCACCATCACCTCAAGGCAGCTTGCCCTTGGGTGAGTGGCTCCTGAGAGTTAATTACTTAAGGATGGTTAATGATTCTCCTGGGTGACACTAGGGGAGGTATATGCAAATTTATAGTAATTACAACAACTCAGCAGCAGCTACTCTGTGAGTGTTCCCTGCGCTCCCGGCACTGCTTTCGACACTTGATTGTGTTATTTCAGCCACACAAGGATCCTGTGAGGTAGGCATGATCACACCGTCATTTTTCTTGTAGACATGGAAACTGAAGTGCAGGGAAGTTCCAGGAGTATAACTAATGTCACAGTGATTAAGGGGCAGAGCCGGGGGGGCGGGGCACACGTGGGTCTGACTTTAAATCCCTTAGTACCCTTGCTGCACTAAAATGGATCAATTCATAAGACAACTTTGAGCAAGGACTCTGGGGTGCTTCCAACTGCCAGGTGGGTACTCAGGGCAAAGGGAGGATCTTCCAGTTAAATTCGAGGGCAAGGGCTTTCAGGATTTGGGGATGCTCTGTGCCCAATAACGCCCATGCTCCTAAAAGCACCACTTGCAAGACAGGCCCCCCGGGGAATCACGGCTTGAGCTGGCAACAGCAACAGCCTAGCCGCCCAGCTAAGCGACCTCAGGCCCCCAGTCTCCGTCACTGATGCCATTTGGGTGACTTCTCACCCCTGACTGTCATCGGCCAAGAACTCCGCGGGGCCCTTCCACCACCGCTCACCTGCCGGCCTGCAGCACCCCGGAAATGCTGAAGAGCCCGAAGTCTGTGATCACCACTTTGCCGTTGTCATAGAAGACATTCTTTGACTTGAGGTCCTTGTGAAGGATCCCCTTTGCGTGGAGGTAGCCCATGCCCTGTAGGAATCAAGGAAATGGGAATTTTCAAGGAACACCTGAGTGCTCGCTGCTGCTACTTGGCTTGGGTTCACCCTCCTTGTCTTTCCAACAAGAGCGCCTCAAATAGCTGAAGTTCTCGGGACCCCAACGCAGGCGCTCAGAGGTGGGGTGAAAGAAGTCATGGCAAGTGGAAACAGGCAGGGTCCCCAAGACACACATCCGCCACCACCCTCATAGCCCCGCCAAACTGTTCCCACCTAGCACTTCTGCTTCTTGAAGAAGAGACAAAGAAAGATGTCCCTGGTGGGGAAAGAAAAATTGAAGACAAAAACGGAGAGGAGGTCCCCGGAGAAAGGAATTCCATCCACCACCTCCCCACACTTCCTCTTTAAAAAATAACTCCTCTGCAGGAGATTTGTTTTATGTCCACTTAACCCGTATCAGTGCAGAATGCACTGCATTCCTCAAGGGACGGATCATGAGCCAATGATCAAGACCACGGAGGAGTCTAGTGGAGGTCTCCCTCAAGGGTGAGTCTCTAGATTTTTGGTTTTTCCCCTTTATGAGCAGTCACATTTTATCTCTTCTAACAGCTCAGTCCTGACACTTCCAGTGGCAACTAAAAGCCCCAGTCAACTGACTAATGAGGCACCTGCCAGAAAACACAGGATGTTCCAGTTTGTTTCAATCCCAAACAACTTGCAACAATTGGATGTTTCCCCAGCAGCTGCGGAAAGAGATGGCTGCACTCATGGGAATTCAAGCATCGGCGGGGTAAGGGATTCTAGCCACACAAACTTATCCGGGTCCCCACAACAGGCCCAATTATCACGATGCTGGGGCACCAGATGGCAGCCAAACATCGGGAGACCAACCCTCATGGTGGTATCCGGGCAAAGCCCTTCCTCACCTACAGCCTGCTATTTTTCAGATCAAGTCTAATTTTTTTTTTTTTTTTTTTTAAATCCAGACTGTTGGTCTGAAGCCAGACCATGCATCTCAGGAGGAAGCCCCAGACCCTGTGGTACCTTCACAATTTCTTGAGCAATCTGCCTCGTTTTGTTGACATCCAAGACGATTTTGGCATCCCTCACCACAGAATAGAGCGTCCGTCCCTTACACAGGCTGGAAAGCGAAAGGCAAAATAAATGATCAGCAGTTGTTCAGAGGAGAGTGACCCACAATGGTTGTTAGATGTGACAAGTAAGACTGCAGGTGCCTCTAGTTTGCCTATCAGATAATGAGCCTGTAACCGGACCTCAGATCTGGTTCTGGGATGCAGATCGGGGGGTGGGGCACGTTCTATCACCGACACCCCCACCCCGGCATCGCAGGATACCTACAGAATCTAACCCAGGCCAGAGGCAGGCTTGCCACGTTCCGTCTGTCCCAGATTGCACAGAAGGAAAGCTGCGCGTAAACCAACAGCTTCTGGGGTTCTCAGACACCACTCAGACAGCACTCTGCCAGCCACTTGTCCCAGCTGCTCCCGCTCACCCGAAGCAGCTGAGGGACAGCGATAAAAACACCAGCGAAGTGGTGGCTCACGTCCACCAAGTACCATCGGCCAAAGATGCATTCAAGCCTTCAGACCATGGCGTGTCAACATCAATACCCCTCCCCCCAAACCAGATGCCTGTCGAGATAGAGGGCTTTTCAAACCATTTTCAGCCTCATTGAGTTCATTTCGAGGACCAGTGGTGTAAGATAAATGACAAGATGACAAAGGACGGTAATGCAGTGATGGTCACACCTCCCCGTTTAGTTGCCTACATGCCCAGCCATCTGTCCCTCCCGCAGTGCACTCAGTTCCTGGCACGCACGCAGCAGGCCCTCAGTACATGGTCATGGAATGAATGAGTGAATGAATGAATTCTAGATTCACCACTGCATTCCCAGCCCCTAGCACCATGTCTGCCTCACGGTATCCGGTGTTGGCTAAAAGAGGAAAGGATGGTATCAGGAAAGTTCATGTTCCATCTCATGTCAAAATAATGGCTTGAATTTTTCTTTTAATCTAGGACTTCATTGCTAAAAGACTCTTAGTCCTTCCTTTAGTATCCTCGAGCCTTTGTTACATGCTAGAATAGCTGAGATCATGTGGTTGAGCTGGAACTGTGGCAAAGGGACCTCAGTTTGGATCCCAGCTGTGTTCCTCACTGTGTGTCTTTGGGTGGGCTACTTAACCCCTCTGGGCTTCAGTTTCCGCAGCTATCAAAGAGAATATGTACCTTGTAGAGTCAGTACAAGGACTGAATGAGAGAAGGAGCCCAGGGCGGTGCCTGGCACGTGGTGGAAAGTGTAGCACAGGGGTTAGAACAGGGGCCTAGTCAAACTCTGTGGGTTAGAATCCTGGCTTGTCAGTTAATGGCTGTGTGACCCCAGGAAGGTGAGTTAACCTCTCTGAGCCTCATTTTCATTATCTGTAAAATGGGGTCAATAGTTCCTGCCTTACAAGATTGTTAAGGAGAACCATATGAAATCAGGTGTGTAAAGGGACGGGCATCTCTCCATGCCTGACACATATTAAGTGCTCATGAAATGCTGGCTGTTAGGAGAGGTAGTGAATGATCAATAAAATGGCAAATGCACACACACCCTTGGCAAATACGTATTATATATTTATACACACATCACATCTGTTTGTCCATCTATTATATTACTCTCTACCTAGCTATGTATCCATTCATCCGCCCATATATCTGTCCAAAATGCTACCCGTGATCTTTGACTAAGATTCATTTCTTCACTTCCTTAAGGTGAGATTTTCAGGGAAGCTGACTCCCAGGGAGTCTGATTCACCTGTCCAAGGTTGCCCAGTGAGCTGGCAGGAGGCAGCCACGGTGACTCGAGGCTATCCCCTGTCGTTGCTTTCCTGGGGGTACATTTGCTATGGCTGCTGCAGGAGAGGGGGAGGGAGTGGGCTGTACAGCCAATTAAACCATACTGACATTTAAACATTGGGGATGGTGGAGACCGTGGGTGGATTCCCTCCCCTGGATACTCAGTTCTTGAACAGCCACCTACATGCATTACCGGTCAGAGCGCAGAAAATGCCGTCCCCACTGCATAAAGCAGAGCAAATCACTGCAACAGGCTCCCAGGGTCCCAGACTCTCCTTCCCAGGGTAACCACATACAAGTCGCAGGTTTCAAATACCCTCCCATCTTCTTTCTCTGCTCACATCTTCCTCTACAGGAGCAGCTGCTAAAACCTTTGCTTCTCTCACTACCCTGTGGTTTCTGGGGCTGCTGGAGAAACCACCACCCACTGGTGGGGATGTAAGTCGTACAATCACAGCTTGGCAGGGCTACCAAAGTGAAATATACAAATAACCCACGATCGGCAATTCCTCCCCTAAGTATAAACGCAACAGTCATGCATAATCATGTTCACCCACGGATATGCCAGAATGTACTACCATGTTAACAGCAACCCATTCATAATAGCCCCACACTGGAGCTAATCCAAATGTTTGTCAACAGAAAGATGGATAGATTGTGACAGCGCCATAGAACCATGTATGTTTGTACTATACTATAAAATAATAAACTATTGCTAACGGCAACAAACATAAACACAATGTTGAACAAAAGAAGCCAGACACACAGGACTCACATAGAATGATTCCGTATGTATAAAGTGCAAAAGCAGACAAAACTGACCCGTATTGTGAAGTCAATGTAGTGGTGACCCTTGGGGGCTGGGGAGGCTGGAGAGGGCATGAGGGGTATGGGGGGAGGGGGCAGGCAATGTTCTGTTTTGATTGGGGTGCGGTATAGGAGTGTGAATTTAGTCGAAATTCATCAGGTTGTGCTCTTAGGATCTGGACACTGCCAGATATTACACTTAAAAAAGTTTGCTTCAAACAAATCGGCAAGGATGAACAATATGCATGTTGAAATTTACAAGAAAATCTAAACCAACACTGATACCCAGCCATCCACTTTTTTTTTTTAAAGATTTTGTTTATTCATGAGACAGAGAGGCAGAAGGAAAAGCAGGCTCCCCGCTGAGCTGACAGGCTGATGCGGGACTCGATCCCAGGACCCTGGGATCATGACCTGAGCTGAAGGCAGACGCTTAACCGACTGAAACCCCCAGGCACCCCCCCCCACCCTGTAACCACTTTTAAGCTCTTCACATAGTCACAATTCTGTCTGCAGAGGAATTAGGGGCTCCGGGCCTGGCTGTGCCTGCCAGGTGTGTATCGGGGGCTGAGTTGGAGAGCAGGTGCAGGGAGAAGGCTGAGCTCTAAGTAGGAGCAGGCATCAGGCAGGTGTCCAGGGTGGCTGAGGCTCGGATACACCAGGCAAGTCAGTCCAAGTATCTTTGGCAACTGCTCTGAGCTTGGGGTTTCTGTGGCTAACAGCAGTGCCCCAAAAGCCACTTGTGGGGTGGGAGGTGGAGAAGGGAAGGGAGGAGAGGATGAAGGTTTACTGAGCACGTGTGTGGGACCTAAGTCACCTCCACAAATCCTCAAGGCAGCCCCGCAGGGTCCACACTATTGCCCTATTCCTGCCGATGAGGCTACGGAGACCCAGAGGGGCGGAGGACCTGCTCACAGACACACAGACATGGTGTCAGCCTGTTCCTGATCTGTCTCTCATCCCTTCTGTGGTATGGGTGCCCAGTTACCAGACGTGATTTGGGGGCCATTTAAGAGACACGCAGGCAAGGGAATCCAAATCTGACTCTACCATTTACTACTTGCTGGGTGGCCTTGGGAAGTGACTTTGATCTCAGTTTCCTCATCTGTAAAACAGGCGTCATGTAACACCACCAGCTAACGTGCATGAGCCCTTTCTAGGTACCAGATGCCAGCCTAGGCACAAGGGCCCCACACGGTGGGTATTCTTGCTGTATTCCATGGATTCCAAGATGCACATTTCCTTGAAATTCAACATCTCCGAAAGCAGAATGTGTCTTATTCATGAACAGGTAACAGTTTTGTTGGCACTGTATTTCCTTCTTTGTCCATGAATACATGGTGCACATTGTAATTAATAGCATCTTGGATTTATTGAAGTCTTGGATCAGCCATGTTTTACAGATAAGGAAACTGAGGCTCTGAGAGGTTCAGTGGAGCTGGGATTTGAACCCAGGCAGCCTGGCTCCAGAGCTTAGGCTCTTAACCCTCATCTTTTGCTCCATAACTTTCTCTGAGACTCCAGCATGTCACACGCCCTCAGTAAATGGTAGTCATAATGTCACTACTATGGCAATGGGGATGAATGAGCCCGCAGGCCTTGGTGGCAGTCAGTCTGGAGGTCAGGAGAAGGGGTTTTAGTGGCTTAAGGATGTAGTTAGTAGCCCTCTAGGTTCTGGGGCAGTAAGCGCGCGCACACACACACACACACACACACACACACACACATTTCCCCTCTCAGTATCTCTCTCTGCAAAATGATCACGTTTCTTCAAAGAGGAACAAGGACCGGATTATGCCCCACTTTATCTGCAGGCTGATAGAGAGGTGTCTCCAGCCCTGACCCCAGGCAATGCATTCATCCAACTCTGACCTTTGACCCCACATCCCAGGTGACACAGTGGGCCTTCTGGCCAGGATGGCACTGCAAGTGTAAGATGCTTGTTATAAACCAGCCTAAAAGAGGATTGCCAGAAAGCAACCAGATAAAACCACCTAGAAGGCTTATCGAGGACCTCTGTCCAAACTGGCTACTTTCTGCCAAAACAGTGACTGGGGAGAAATCTAGATGCCTGGGGCAGCCACTTCTCTTCCCTCCTCCAAATCGCTCAGCACCAAGCAGGGGGACCCAGGCCTGTGTGAATGAATGGAGGGTGGGAGGGAGGGGAGTGTGTCTTTCAGGTATGTCTGGTCTTAAACTGGAATGTTCTAGACTGGGCACCTACGGTCTCCCGGCCACACCTGCTCCCCTTCCTGCAGTTACACCTGCCGAGACCTCAGAGGTGTTTAAGCACGAGGCCAGTGGCTAACTGGAAGGTACATCAAAATCCCTTGGAAGAGCTTGTTACAACAAAGACGGCTGGTCCCACCCTGAGAAATTCTGATTCTGGGGGTCTGGGTTGGGTTCCAGAGAATTGGCATTTCTAACAAGTCTCCAGGTCATGCTAATGCTGGTGGTCTAGGAACCCCACTTTGAGAACCACTGCTCAAGGCCAATCTCATTTGACTGAGGCCCAGAGATAGTAATGTTTGCAATCCATTTAGTGAGTGTGGCTCTGTGGGCATGGTAGTATTCTAGGGGTAGGCGATACTGTTCTAGGTGTGTGCAAGACAGGCCCCATCCTTAAGCTCATGGGACTGACTGGCCAGGGGAGACGTCGGGCAATAAATAAGTAAAATAGATGAGATATTCAGAGAGGCATAAGTGCTAAGGGGAAACTAAAGGGATTTATTGGACAGAGAGTGCTGGGGCTGGGGGCTTCTTTAGCTAGGATGGTTAGGGTAAGTCCCTCAGGGGAGATGACCTTCATGCCAAGAGCTGAATGAAGAAAGGCAGCCATGTGAAAATCTGGAGGAAGAGAGTTCCAGGCTGAAGGACCAGCCAGTGCAAAGGCCCTGGGGTAGGACCAAGCCTGGTACACTTGAGTAACATAGCAAAGGCCCTATGGCTGGGCTCTAGAGAACACCTCCCAGGGCCTGCCCCCCTCAAGTATCGATCTTCTAAATAGAAGAAACAGTTGGGTGGAAACAGTCCTTAGCTCTGCCTGATTTGAGTTCCCAAGGCAGTTGGTTTCAAAGTCAGCTATTATTTTAAAAACACTCTATTCTGTCAGAAGGGATTTACAACCCTTTGGTTGTTCACTCACTTCTAAGCATTCCCCACCTCTCAAAACTCAAAACCCACTTAATTGCCCCTTTCCTCCCCCGCCTTCCCTTGAGCAAATAAATCACATGTCAAGCGACAAGTTGCGTGCTCCCATCAAATTCTAGCCGCAGGCAAGCTTTTAACTTCGAAGTCGTTCATGAATCTAACACTGAAGATATTAAACCTCGGGACTCTGGGGCTTTCTAATAAAAAATGCCAGGTTTGCTTCCTATTAAAAATGGGGAAATGCCAGAAAACAAGTGAGAAACGCTGTGCGTCCAGGAAATGAAGTTACAGAGTTCCATTTAGTAAGGGGTGGGTGGCAGAAGGCTCAGGTCCGAGAGGACGGTGGCCGGCCAGACACTGGAAGATGCAAAGCAGGAGCCTTGCTGCCCAGGAAGGCAGGGCTTACTTTTTGCCAATGCACACCCCCGCTCCAGCCTTTGATATTGTTGCAAAGCTCGGAGAAGTGGGGAGGGACAAGGAAGCTTAGACCCTGTCTTACTGGATTTTTGTCTCCAGGCCTGGATCCAATTTTGCTAAGTGCAGAGGCCAAAGGCTGGCTGCTCTGGGCCCTTCCAGGACGGAGACAGGGCTGTGCCAGTGAGTGATAACTCATGCCCCTAACCATGACCTCATGCTTCTGGGCATCTGGTGACATTCTGCCCTCCGTGGTCTGGGCTTTACAAGGGTAGGTGTGCTCCATGGGCACAGGCAGCCAGCTGGGGAAGTATGAGCCTTCAGCTCGCTACAGGAAGAACTTCCAGGAAATGGTAGCCCAGCGGGGCCTCTGCCTCCAATCACATTGTGTGGTCCAGCCGCCATCCGAGACCTGTTCTTCTTGACCTTGTCCAAAGACGTCCCGGGACATGCTCCTCCCTAACTCTGCAGCATAGTCTTTTATCATCTCCTAAGGGTCAGACTATAACATCTCATGGCAATCATTCCAGAACCACCTTAAGATTTTTGCCAGACTGGCCACCTTGCATTATTTATCACTTGCTAGTAGTTTCCTTTGGATGCCCTGCCTTGAAAAAAAATAAGCATATTTTAAAAAGAAACTTTTATCATGACCTTCTATATTGCCAGGTAGAAAGCCAGGATCTCTAGCCCCAGATAAATGTAAAAGGAAGTACAATGAAAGCCAAGATGTCAAACAAAACGAAATCCTAGCTGGGGATTGCAGCCTTTGCCAAATGATCTGATCCTGAGGCCCCCTCTTTGTGTTAAAAAAGGAGGTTTAGTAGGTCAGGGCTAAGAAGGCGTTAGATACTAGCACTGGGTGGAGACTTTCTCCTTAATGTCACCAGGAGGATGGAAGTAGAATCGAAGAGGAAAAGGACGGTCTCACCCTATGTGATTTAATGCTATGTGGGGCCAGCGGTACCTGTCTTACACTCTGGGAAACCCTCATTTAATCCTCATATCTGCAAACCCCTCCTTCCTGCCAATTATGCAACAACTGAGTACTACAGGCCAGGTATGTGCAGTGACAGGACAAAAAGGGCCATTTCCTTGTTCTGATGGAACTGACATTCTCGTGGAAGAACAGACACTGGCAAATAGAGCAACTGTAAGTTACAAGTAGGACGATGGAGAAATTAACATGGGTCAGGTAGAGACGAAGGGGAGAGAGCTGGGTGTCTCCATTAATAAGTGGTCAGACTGGCATCTCAGGAGGGGACATCAGCGGCCCCCTTCCCACCACATCATGCTGTCTTAGGGCAAAGACTCTGCACTGCTTTCTGGCAACTTCTCACCACATGCCCCTTGTCCCATCTCTCCAAGAAGGGCAGGCATCATCTTATTTAGGATGATGACCACCTCCCGAAGGCTGGCCAGGGGGCCAGGATAGAGGCAAAAGTTTCCCGGGATCATCTCATCCAATGCTTCAAAGAACTCTCTAAAGTGGGTATGGTTATTCCCATCGTACAGATGGGAGACTGAGGCCATAAGTCAGCCTGGATAGGAGACCACCCTTCAGAATCAGAACCACCTGGGATAAAATTCTGCCCCTTTCTGGTTGTGTGATCTCAGGCAGGCTCCTGGAAACCTTTGGAACGTGCAGTGCTTTATGATGTGTGAGGTGGGCTGAGGAGGGAAGGGAGGTGGTTATACGTAGTGAGTATGTGTGTGGCCTCCGAGTTCAGTTTGAGTATCCACTACTCGGCACTGCTTGGAAATGAGGCGAGGTGGGACAACGGTCTCTGTTATGGGCCTCCCTGGGACGAGGCACTGAGCTGAGCACTTCTCAGGCCCTCCTTCCCAGGAGGGCAGGTCCTGGATTACAAATGAGGCAATTCACGTGCAGGAAGGTTACAGCACCTGCCTGGGGTCCCACAGTCAGTAGGTGACAGGCTCCGGATTGGAGTCCAGGTCTGAAAGCACCACGTCTTTCCAGGATTTTAGAAGCTCCCTTGAGAAAAGGTGGTTTGGTAAAGAGGAGTGACCTGAACCCACTCAAGATGGCCTGACTTCTGGAAAACTTCATCCACTGAGCTCAGCTGAGATACCCCCCAACCCCAGCTCAAAGCCTGTCCTTCCGACCCTCCAAATTCAGGGCCAGCCCAAGTCTGTCCTCACTGTCCGCTTGCTGTTTGTGTTTCTGAATTCCCAGCCACCACCCAGAGACAAGCAAGGCAGGCCAAAGAGGATTGGGTCATTTGAGGGGGTCTTCAGAGCTCCTGCAGCACACGGCTGGCCAGGCCCAGGGGAGGAGCTCCAGAAATGCTCCGGGAATGAGTGAATGACCACTGGAGCTGGGAGGAGACCTATGTTTGGTGCCAGGGCAGATCTTTCTGAAAGAGACCCTGAGCCAAGCCAGAGCCAGTCAGTGATGAAGCGTGCAGCCTCCTTCCTGTCAGCGCAAGGTACCGAAGGACCACGCTGACCCACCCTCCCCGCCCTGCCTTCCAGGGCTGGATACCGAAACACATCAGTTCTTGTTGTTCCCTGACCAGAACCACATTTTTTTTTTTTTAAAAGCTGAACAGTAAACTGAATTACCATTTAAAAAATGTATATGCATGCCACCTAATTTATATGCATTAAAAACCCAAGAGGACAGACTCCAAGGTGTCAGCAGGGTTATTTCTAGGTAGTGGGATTAAGAGCTTTACAAGTTGGGTTTTTTTTTTTTCCCCCTTGCTGCTTATCTCTCTTTTCTACTTTTTCTCCCAATAAACACATGGTACTTTTGTAAAATGAGAAAAAAGGGGGGAAAAAAGGCACCTCTGAGTCAGACGGCAATGAAACCAGACACACGTTTATCCTCTAGACGGTTTGGAAAATACTGAGCTGGCCACGGACTGAAAGGAGGAAGGACAGTGTGAACTGCGTCCATGCTCGGAGCAGCTCAGCCTTGGCCTTGCTCAGAAGGCTGTCTGGCCGTGATTTGTTCAAGGCGGGAAGCATTTTTTGTGCCTTGTCTTCTGCATAGGGGCTGTACCTGCTGGGCACGCAGCACATGACGGGCCCTTACCTGAAAGCCCCAATAGCACCCTCTCCCTGGAAAAGTTCAATCCCTAATGAAGAAGGCAGAGTCAATGATCTGATTTTTAAAAATAACTGTGTGTCTGGTAAGAGGAGGAGGGGCAGACAATGTGTGGTATGCATCACCCCACAAACGGCTGGGTCCTTTCTGCCCACGGGGCCCAGGGCCCAAGCGGGTGGAGCGAGGTGGGGGAGGGGAAACAGCAGGGGGATGGGAGAATTCCACCTTCCCAGGAGATGGACCTCAGTGTGGCACTTACCTGGCCATGATGTAAGAGAACATGTATAGAAAGTTCTAGAATTCAGGCTATAGACTCATGTTCTAGACGAATGGGTCCACCTCCTTCATGGAAGAAATGGTGACACAGAGGAAAATAGAATTTCCCAAGGTGGTGCTTCAAGTGGCATAGCTAGGCTTGAACCCCAGATCTGCCCGAGGCTGAATTCTATGTTTGCAGGCCCAGAGCCATGCTGCCTCCTAAGAATCATCAATACCATTCGCTGGGAACCTTCCCATGAGCACTCTGCTAGGGGTTTGACATGAATGATCTTAACTACAGTTGACCCTTGAACGATGTGGGGCAGGGGCACTGACTCCCCACCCAGTTGAAAATCCGCATGTAACTTTTGATTCCTCGAAAATGTAACTGACAGGAAGCCTTACTGATCACATAAAGTCGATGAACACATATTTTGTATGCTATATGTATTATATACTTATTCTCACAATAAGGTAAGCTAGAGGGGTGCCTGGGTGGCTCAGTCGGTTAAGCGTCTGCGTTCTGCTCAGATCAGGATTGCAGGGTCCTGGGATGGAGCCCCATGTTGGCTCTCTGCTCAGCAAGGAGCCTGCTTCTCCCTCTCCCTCTGCCTGCCACTCCCCCTGTCTGTGCTCTCTCTCTGTCAAATACATAAATATTTTTTTTTTAAGGTAAGCTAGAGAAAAAGCATTAAGAGATCCATAAAGAAAATACATTTGCTATACTGTATTTCTAGAAACAAATCTGTGTATAAGTGAATTTGTGCAGTTCAAACCCATGTCATTCAAGGGTCACCTGGAGATGCACCCCCAATTTCAACCTTATTAGGGAAGTGTATTGCTATTTCAGATGGGAAAACGGAGACTCAGGGAGGACAAGTCACTTGCTAGGCTCATGCAGAGGACACCTACGAAGCAGAACTAGCTACCCCCCATCTGTCTGACACCAGCGTCTTGTTCTTAGCCACTGAGCTACATGGCCTCTTTGGGAAATAGAAAGAGCAGGGCTGAGGGATGAGGGAACTGACATTTTCCAAGCTCCTGAGACAAGCCTCATCAGAACCCTGTGGGGGAACGTTTCATCTTCCCACTTTTCCAATGAGGAAGCAAAGGCTCAAGGGAATAAATGACCTGCCCAGGATCCTTTGCAGCCAGGATGTGGCAACAGGAGCTGGGTCCAGTTTGCCCGAAGCTCCCTTTCCACTGCCTCTCCCTTTCTTGAGAATGGGATGCCCCAGCACACACCCAGGGAGCTCACTGTTGGCACTGCTCTAGGTCAGGAGCTCACAGAGAATCTGGAAGAGTGTAGATACACAGGCTTAGGAGAGTAAATACCTGGTAAATGCTATTTTATTGGAACACAGCCACACCTTTGTTTGTATACTGTCTATAGATGCTTTCATGCTAAAATGGCAGAGTTGAGTCTCAGACTGCATGGCAAAACTAAGAATATTTACGGTCTGAAAAAAATAAATACAACTTAAAAAAAAATTTTTTTAGACAGATGTTGGCAGGGATGCAGAGAAAGGGGAACCCTCCTACACTGTTGGTGGGAATGCAAGCTGGTGTAGCCACTCTGGAAAACAGTATGGGGGTTCCTCAAAAAGTTGAAAATAGAGCTACCATATGATCCAGCAATTGCACTACTGGGTATTTACCCCAAAGATACAAATGTAGGGACCCAAAGGGGTACATGTACCCCAATGTTCATAGCAGCAATGTCCACAATAGCCAAACTGTGGAAAGACCCAAGATGTCCATCGACAGATGAAT